TTAATTTACGAGAGATTAATCGCGAGCGACGATAAATCTCTTTGAAGCGAATCGAAAACTTAGCGTTTCGTCAACGAGCGTACGAACGAAAAAAGCGAGCGACTTTTCTTGCGAGAGTTTAAACGATATTATAACACACTGTCTCGGAAGGAGCTCACGATCGAGTGCGCCCGGCGGTTCCCCGAGAGAACTTTTATACAAACGTTCTTTAGCTAGTTCTAGAAGTTTCTAAATGTTTTTCGCGAAAGATTGAGCCTGCTGTTGTTGTCGATGATTATTGAAAATTGAACGTTGTTATTTGTTACATATTGTTATTTAGGCTCTCCCGGGTGACCGCTGCGTGGCCCGCATTAATAGGCACGAGCGATGCCGCGGGCCTGGCGCGATTCGCGTAGCGCCGCTGTTGGATCGCGCTCCTATTTGTCGCGCGCCGGGCGACGCGCGTGATGGCTGCTGACGCGCCAAATTTCGAGCGCGGTTAATCGGCGCTTTATTGTAGTGGTCGTTATCGCGGCTAATTGCTATTAGTAATTATTTTGAGTTCGATTTCGAACAATTATTTAAATCTGTCATTTATCGACGTAATTACATTATATATAATCAATAAAATCATCAATTAAAAAAATATCTCGTTTAAATCATATGATTGAAAACTTACAGTTCACCCAGAAGTACCACAACGCACAGGAAAAATCAATAACATGGAGAAATTCGATGCAGAATATTTTGATATTTCCTTCGATGAAGTTGCTATGATGGATCCTATGGGTAGGATGTTATTAGAACATACCTATGAAGCTATTATCGATGCAGGAGTAAATCCGAAAGATATACGTGGGACAAAAACTGGAGTTTTTATCGGGGCATGTTTTTCTGAATCGGAAGAAAACTGGATTTACGAAAAACATCAGGTATTTAAAATATTAAGTGCGATCAAGAATCAAGCTCGAATGCATTAATCATAATTATGCAGTAATTATAAAAATTTTAACAGATAATGTTTTTATACATATCTAATCAAACAAAAAAATTTTTTTATATTAAAACATATTTGTAATAAGCAAACAAATTTTCTAAGCAATCAATGTATATGCATTAGATATCTGGTCCTGTAATTGTTGGATGTAGCAAGACTATGCTGGCAAATCGAATTTCTCAATGGTTGGATATAACAGGACCGTCTTACACAATCGATAGCGCTTGCAGTTCAAGTCTTTTTGCTATGGAACGTGCTTTTAGAAGTATGCAATCGGGGGAGTGTGATGCCGCTATTGTCGGTGGTGCAAATCTCTGTTTGAATCCTCTTATATCCTTGCAATTCACGCGACTAGGTATTTCTGTTTATATTAAAAAAATTATAAATTTATAATATAGGAGATTCTTATACATATATAAATCTAAACAATTTAAAGAAATATACTTATAAATATATTCCAATATATATTATGATTCATAACTGTTACGTTCTAGGAGTTTTATCGCCTGATGGAATTTGTAGATCTTTCGATGAAAACGCAAACGGTTATATGCGTAGCGAAGCAATCGGTATAGTATACCTGCAAAAGGCAAAAAAAGCTAAGAGGATTTATGCAACCGTTGTGTATACCAAGATAAATTGTGATGGATATAAAGAACAAGGCATTACTTTCCCGTCTAGCAAAATGCAAGGAGCTTTGCTTCAAGAATTTTACGATGAATGTGGTATATCATCGTCTTGTGTAGATTATATGGAAGCTCATGGTACCGCTACCAGAGTTGGCGATCCTGAAGAAATTAACGCTCTCGAAAAAGTTATCTGCAAGGATAGGAAGACTCCTTTGTTAATTGGTTCTGTCAAGTCAAACTTGGGTCACTCTGAGGCTTCTGCAGGTTTATGTCAAATTGCTAAGGTAATGATATAGTTATGCAATGTAATAATGTTCTATTAATTTATGGTGTATATATACATATATTGCATAGGTCTTATATGTAAATTTTTAACTTAAACATAAATAATACTTTCTTCACTTTTATTTTGCTGCCACTGCATACATTTTTTCGATCTGAAATAATTTAATAAAAATTAAAAAAATCTTAGATAAAAATATTTTTTATAAGGTTATAATTGCGATGCAAACCGGTATAATTCCACCGAATGCAAACTTTAAACAAGTACGGAAAAGTGTGAAAGCTCTTGAGGATGGAAGTATACGTGTAGTGAATACTCCAACACCATGGAATCCCGGTTTAGTGGGTATTAATTCGTTTGGCTTTGGCGGGGCCAATTGTCATATTTTGCTGCAATCTAATTTGAAGCAAAAAGTTAATGGAGGAGCGCCAAATGACGATTTACCAAGACTCATTGTTGTATCCGGTCATACTGAACACGCAGTCGAATCATTATTAAATGAGGTACCCAAAACCTTTGTGTTTCAATTCCCCGATAAAAAACATATTTATACAAAATATTTTATATTAAAATCAATAAATAAATTTGTATATTAGATCGAGAATCAGCCGATAGACGTCGAATATATCCGGCTGTTGCATGATCTTCACGCTGACGATATACAAGGTCATCCTTATAGAGGGTACGCAATTATCGAATCTAAAGCATCGATAAAAATGATGAAAGAAATACAACATTATTCAGGTAAAAAAAAGCCGATTTGTTTCGTGTTTTCCGGAATAGGATCGCAATGGCCTGGCATGGGTACGCATTTTACTTTGCATATATATACATATATATATCAAAGAAGCAATATTTTACAATTTATTCAATCTTTACGTTAATAGGTCAAGCGTTACTGCGATTCCCGACATTTTATAAAACTGTAAAAAAGTGCGACACTATTTTAAGGACACGTGGAATGCGCATCATTGATGTATTAACAAGTAAACACGAAGCAATCTTTAACAGTATATTGAACTCGTTAGTTGGTATTACTGTAATGCAGGTGATGAATTATCCATTCTAATTGTCGCGTAAATCATGCAAATTATATAATTTATTCAGAATTTAAGAAAAATGATACTTTACTTTTCTCTTTAGATCGGATTAATCGATCTTTTAAAATCCGTAAATATCGTGCCAGATCATGTTGTCGGTCATTCGATCGGCGAACTCTGTTGCGGATACGTGACTGGTAATTTTACAATGGAACAAGTGCTTCTCTCCTCGTATTATATAGGATTGGCGTTGAGTGAAACAAAAATAGTTCATGGCGCCATGGCGAACATTGATCTTAGTTATGAAAATGCTAAGAACATATGTCCATGGAAATTGGAAAATTTGATTTTATGGCTAATAATATATTGGACTTGTCAGTTTTTTCAAAAGGTATTACATTTTACAGCGTTATGTTGGACAACTTATTCTCGGCTACAAAAGAGCAAAGAATGGTATTGAATAAGTTCCTAGTCAATGGCCTTATTAGCGGAGCCATTAAGCCAATCAGCAGAAAAGTTTTCCAAAGAGACGAAATTGAGTCTGCATTTAGATACATGGCAGCTGGAAAGCATATAGGAAAAGTAAGTCAATAATTATTAATTAAAATGATTTGTAATTGTACTTGATTTAATTGTACTTTCTATCAAGAGAGGCAGCACATTGTAACATACAATAGATTTTATATATCACAATTTCTAGATAATCATAAAAATATATAAAGCTGGCGAATCTATAAGCGCACCTATTCCGGCACTTCCACGTTATTATTGTATGATCAACAAGACATATGTCATTTTCGGTGGCTTAGGTGGTTTCGGTTTAGAATTAGCCGATTGGTTGATTATTCGAGGCGCCGAGAATCTTGTGCTTGTCTCGCGCACAGGAATAAAGAACGGATATCAGCAAATGAAGATTGACTTGTGGAAATCTTATGGAGTGAGGATATTGATCTTATCGAACCTTGATGCGTCAAACGTCAATGATTGCGAACGTATATTGAAAACAGCGGAAAAGCTAGCGCCAGTAGATGCTATATTTAATCTTGCTGTGCTGTTAAACGATAAGATTTGCCAAAATCATACCGTAGAGACATTCCAAGTGCCATTTAAAGCAAAAGCTTGGGCGACGAAGAATTTAGATCGTTTGTCTAGAAAGATTTGTCTCCAGCTTCGACACTTTGTTGTGTTTTCCTCTGTTTCCTGCGGCAGAGGCAATGCCGGACAGAGCAATTACGGCATGGCAAACTCTGTTATGGAAAGAATTTGTGAGAGAAGAGTGCAAGAAGGTTTACACGGATATCGGAAATTCGCGCGACACCAGTTTCGAGCAAATGATATTTCGACAGACCGAGGGTCGCGGTGTAGATCTCGTATTGAACTCATTCGCTGAAGATAAACTTCAGGCTTCTATTCGTTGTCTTGCGAGAGGAGGGCGTTTCTTGGAAATTGGAAAATTTGATTTTATGGCTAATAATATATTGGACTTGTCAGTTTTTTCAAAAGGTATTACATTTTACAGCGTTATGTTGGACAACTTATTCTCGGCTACAAAAGAGCAAAGAATGGTATTGAATAAGTTCCTAGTCAATGGCCTTATTAGCGGAGCCATTAAGCCAATCAGCAGAAAAGTTTTCCAAAGAGACGAAATTGAGTCTGCATTTAGATACATGGCAGCTGGAAAGCATATAGGAAAAGTAAGTCAATAATTATTAATTAAAATGATTTGTAATTGTACTTGATTTAATTGTACTTTCTATCAAGAGAGGCAGCACATTGTAACATACAATAGATTTTATATATCACAATTTCTAGATAATCATAAAAATATATAAAGCTGGCGAATCTATAAGCGCACCTATTCCGGCACTTCCACGTTATTATTGTATGATCAACAAGACATATGTCATTTTCGGTGGCTTAGGTGGTTTTGGCTTAGAATTAACCGATTGGTTGATCATTCGAGGCGCCGAGAATCTCGTGCTGATTTCGCGCACAGGAATAAAGAACGGATATCAGCAAATGAAGATCGATTTATGGAAGTCTTACGGAGTAAAAATATTGATCTTATCGAACCTTGACGCGTCAAACGTCAATGATTGCGAACATATATTAAAAACAGCGGAAAAGCTGGCGCCTGTAGATGCTGTATTTAATCTTGCTGTGGTGTTGAACGATAAGATCTGCCAGAATCATACTGTAGAAACATTTCAAGAGCCATTTAAAGCAAAAACTTTGGCGACGAAGAACTTGGATCGATTGTCTAGAAAGATATGTCTCCAGCTTCGACATTTTGTTGTGTTCTCTTCAGTTTCCTGCGGTAGAGGCAATGCCGGACAGAGCAATTACGGCATGGCAAACTCTGTTATGGAAAGAATTTGTGAGAGAAGAGTGCAAGAAGGTTTACACGGACTGGCGGTTCAGTGGGGCGCAGTAGGCGATGTCGGCCTCGTGGCCGACATGCAAGACGACGATAGGGAAATGGTTATTGGCGGAACTTTGCAACAAAAAATAAGCTCCTGCATCGAGAAACTCGAAGAATTTTTGTTACAAGAACATCCCGTAGTGGGAAGTATGGTTGTAGCTGAGAAGCGTTCGGACGCTTTTGGCGCAAACAATATTGTTGAAACCGTGGCCAATATTATGGGTAAGTTAGTATAGCATAAAAAATTAAGCAATCTAATTAAGTGAATTAATATGATGAAACAAACAAAAATATTGTATGTTAATATAGGTTTGAAGGATTTGAATAATGTGGCTCGTTACACACCATTGCCCGAGCTCGGCATGGACTCGATGATGGCTGTGGAAATTAAACAGACTTTGGAACGAGAGTTTGATGTTTTCCTTACAGCGCAAGATATTCGTTATCTTAATTTTGCGAAACTTATAGAGATGTTTGACAAAGACACTTTGAATGATAAAAATGTCCAAGATGTGAACGAATTGACTGGCATTAAACTGCTCGTTCGTTTGATAGGTAACGATCATCTGATACCCGACGTTTGTTTGGATATGCCAACAAAAAGGAACATGACGAGAAACGAAATATTTCTATTGCCAGGAGTCGAAGGTTGTGGAAATATATTTGATTCGTTGGTACAACAAATCGAAGCTCCAGCAACATGCTTACAACATGGAGTATATCATATCGGCACGGGCTGTACTTCAATAAATGAGATCGCAGATCATCTTTTAAAAGTATGAATCTTATACTTAATTACGGTTGTAGTATCTCATGGAATATTAGAGTAAAATTAATATAGTATTATTTCTCAACGTGTTTTACTATATTTTATAATTTTGTATTTGTTTATAGCATATTTTGAGTAAAAAGAAATTGAATCGAGATTTTACAATAGTGGGTTATTCAATGGGATCATTGATCGCCATTGAATTAGTGCGAAAGTTAGAAGGCATGAATCTTCAAGGCCGATTAGTGCTTATCGATGGCGCACCTGAACAGATGAAAGCAATAGCAAATCATCATTTATCTTTTAACACGATTACTGAACTCGAGAATAATATTTTTTTGGGTATAATGGATACTATACAACCAGCACTTAGTGGAAAGGTATATTATCCATAGACATTTTCTTTGAATGAATTATTTTTTTTTATAAAAATTGCAGTTAATCTAATTTTTGCAGCTTCTTTTGGAGTTAAATAAATGCACCAACTGGAATAAAAAATTAGATGTTTTTATAACTCATGTTCCTTCAACTTATACAAAATTGTCGGTTGACAATAACAAATCTTTATGTACAACAATTTACGAGCGGTTAATCGCTGTTCATGAATATGATGTTACACAATTACCGAAAATTGAAACACCGATAATTCTTTTAAAGCCTATGATACAATCATTGTCTTTTCCTCAGGAAGATTACGGTTTACATAAGGTAATTTGCGTGATGATCATATAAAGATTGCTTCTATAGTAGAGTTACTTTACAGTTAAATAATTTTCAGATTACTAAAGGAAATGTGGAAGTATGTTATATCGAAGGTAATCATGTTACAATGATGGACAGCGATAAAGTTGTCGCTGCGATCAATGGAGAACATATCGAAAGTGTCAGAAAATTAAAGCTAGATATCAGCCGATAGACGTCGAATATATCCGGCTGTTGCATGATCTTCACGCTGACGATATACAAGGTCATTCTTACAGAGGGTACGCAATTATCGAATCTAAAGCATCGATAAAAATGGTGAAAGAAATACAATATTATTCAGGTAAAAGAAAGCCGATTTGTTTCGTGTTTTCCGGAATAGGATCGCAATGGCCTCCTCAGGAAGATTACGGTTTACATAAGGTAATTTGCGTGATGATCATATAAAGATTGCTTCTATAGTAGAGTTACTTTACAGTTAAATAATTTTCAGATTACTAAAGGAAATGTGGAAGTATGTTATATCGAAGGTAATCCACTTTGAATATATATGTATATCAAAGAAGCAATATCTTACAATTAAATTCTTTCAATCTTTACGTTAATAGGTCAAGCGTTACTGCGATTCCCGACATTTTATAAAACTGTAAAAAAGTGCGACACTATTTTAAGGACACGTGGAATGCGCATCATTGATGTATTAACAAGTAAACACGAAGCAATCTTTAACAGTATATTGAACACGTTAGTTGGCATTACTGTAATGCAGGTGATGAATTATCCATTCTAATTGTCGCGTAAATCATGCAAATTATATAATTTATTCAGAATTTAAGAAAAATGATACTTTACTTTTCTCTTTAGATCGGATTAATCGATCTTTTAAAATCCGTAAATATCGTGCCAGATCATGTTGTCGGTCATTCGATCGGCGAACTCTGTTGCGGATACGTGACTGGTAATTTTACAATGGAACAAGTGCTTCTCTCCTCGTATTATATAGGATTGGCGTTGAGTGAAACAAAAATAGTTCATGGCGCCATGGCGAACATTGATCTTAGTTATGAAAATGCTAAGAACATATGTCCACCGGATATTGATATAATCTGCAATATGAGTCATAATACTTGCTCTATAAGTGGGCCAAAAGAATCAGTAACAGCATTTATGACAAAGTTACAGGTGCTTTTATACAGGATGTTCAAAAAAAGTGTTACTAAATATTAGGAGTATGTAGTACTCATAAAAACAAATGAAAAAGTCTTAATAGTAGTACTTCAAAAACCATTTATTGCTGAATTATAAAGCTATCTGTTATTAAATTAATT